GACTTTATTTGGATTTCTCCAATTCTTTCATTGATATTCTCTTCCTGTTGCCGGATCCAATCCAAGGTACCATTTTGCATTTTGTCATTTCGTTTCATTCGTCTGCTCTGGTCTGTGACAATTTCTCAGACTTTTAAATTTTTTCCTGAGTAGTACTAGCCAGGTATTCTGGAGAAGGACTCCACATCTGGGTTTGTCTGTTTTTTCTCAGGATAGGATGCACATTACGTACATGTTTTTGCCGTGAACACCAGACAGGTGAAGTGCCCTCTGGGTACGTCATATCAGGATGTACCTTCATTTTGGGGGACAGCTGCTCTACTCAGTAGTGGCCGGGTAGAAGGGAACCACCAGGATCCATTCACCTTCAGGACAGATTAAAGAAGATCAGCATTGGAAACCAGGAGGAATGGCATGAGACCACAATGGAGCTCCATCTCTTCCAAAGAAGCCACCTGTATTCAAAGTCGGGAGGCAAATATTCTATCACGAGCTCACCCACTAACTGATCTTTGAGGAGGCCAAGCACAGTCTCCTGGCATTAGTTTCTTCATCTGTAGAAGCTGATATCGGAGGCTTTTTCTAATCCTGAATTTTTGTGATTCCAAAACCTGGCAGTGGATTTGCATTAGTCAAGTATCGTCCGAAGTTCTGTTTCCTAAGAGGAATGTGTTGTAATGCTGAGCGAGACACTCCCCACATGTCTGGCTTTCTTCAAAGGGAGATGGCAGGGAGACCTCTCTGCAGCGTTTGTGACACTTGGATCCCAAAACATATTGCAAAAACTCAGAAGGAAATTCAACTCATCCTCTCATCTTTGTTTGGGGGACTCACTGTTACTCCCTCTGTGGCAGTGGGTTCAGAAGTAAATGACATAATTTATGTTTGAAATGTCAGGGATGCACATTTTGGTATTGTAAAAAATCTTTTAATGTTGACCCTTTGCGTAAATCTTACTGGAAATGAGGGATGGCTGCCTTGCAGCGTGGGATGTTTCCAAGTTGCCAGTCATTTGTGCAGAGCTTGTGATGGCAAAACCACAAAAATTTCACAATAGTGGAAACCTCTCATTAACCATAATAAATGACAGGGCGGATTTTTTAAAAAAAAAATACATGGTTAATAATGCTTATTTGCTTTAAAACCATACACTGAGAGATTCTCTTTTGGAGTGAGATAGGTGGTGGACCGCAAATGGTTTTGCAAAATACTTTTCACCTGTGCACGTAAAGTCTGACCTAGAACATTCTACTAATATTGGATCAGGCTCTCATCTGATGTCATTCGCCTGTGGGAATTGTATTGGCTGTGAAACCAGCTCCTCTTCCTAGTTTTTGGAAAAAAAGTTTAAAAAAATCACAGTTCTGTGGTGCATGTTGAATAATGGAAGCCAGGTTCCTAGGCACCGAGACAAGAAAGAATGTCAAAAGGGACCTTTAATGTGTGTTTATATTTAAACATCAGACCTAACAGAAAACCCTTAAGCTTTACACAATGATTAGAGCCTTGTAAGAACCTAATTAATGTATCATCGGGTGAATGGTTGGCCTGGCGTGCAAGCTGTTCTGAAGGACGTGAGGGGGTTCAGGTCCCAGCGAGGAAGAATAGACTCGGTTGTAGTGATTCAGTGGCCCATCTGAAAGGGACATGTAAAGGCAGCTTTGTCTGGCATGCTGCCTTTTCAGACCCACTTGATAATGCTAGTGTCAGTTTCAACTGAAGCGTGTGCCAGATTGCAGATAGCTTGAGCTAGCATTTCAAAGCAGTTAATTGTGAAACTTGAGAAGAAAATGGGCACATTCTTCCGAGGTAGCTATTCAAATACGGTCTCTTTCACTCCCCCCCACCACCCCCCAACCAGAGCTCCATGGGTCTCACTTTTGTTCTGTTCCCACATAAAATGCATGAGGAACACCGAGACTTTTCCTTTGGCAGCTCCTATATTGCTGTCTTTGCCGGGACAGTTTTGCCTTGTTAAAATGTGCCCTGTGTATTAAAATGAAATTGTCACTGCCGGGTGGTGCAGCATAACACGGTTTGACACTAAGCGCCAGCAGCTATAGAAAACAGACTTTTATTGCATTTATTCCTTCAAAGACGAGAGTCTCTAAAGGCTCACTGTAGACATTCACTTAGTTAAATCTGAATGAAGCTAAAGTGAACAATCTACGCGGCTGCTATCATTTGTATTTGTAGAAACAGCTCCATTCCGCTTGATGTGGTGGGGAAACAGTTTTAAGAAAAGATGATCATATATAGAATCCAAAAGGGAAGACTCGAGCCTTTCCAACCAGAACAAAATTATTTTAGGTGGGTCCAGCGTGTTGGCCACTTGATGTTCTTCTTTAGCTTTCTCTGGATTCCCTGAAACATATTGTCTAGAATCAACCAGCACATACACAGAGAGAGAGACACACACTACCCCATCTAGTGTAGTCTTCATCTAGAATTCCATGTCATTTTCAAGGCAATGAGAAAGGATTTGATTTGTAGGGCTCTTGCAAGCAAGTTGTAGATTCTGAACTGCCTTCTAACTGGAGGAGTACCCAGAGAGAGCTTGAACAGGGGGACTCTGGGGCATAAGCTATTCATTCTGTAGCTCTCCTGGAATAAAAATTCCATAAAGTAACATCTGTAGTAATTAAAGGCTTGCATTTCCTCTCCCATTCATGTCTCTGCTAGGAGGGAAGGTTATTTTCCCTAAGAGACAAGGGATAGTAGGTCATGTGGAAAGAGAGAAAGAACAGAATTAGAATTCTTTTTTTCCCTAGAAATAAAAGAGTCCTAGTTAAAAAATAAAATAAAATTTGGGAGACTTACTGTAAAAGATTCCACCAGAAAGAAAACTTACAGAAGTTAAGAAGATTGTACCTAACTACTCCTAAATATTCCTCCTGTGTTTCTAATCCAAATATCTTCAGATCTGGGAGAAATTGTGAATAAACTGTGAACGAAATGCTATCTTTGTTTTATATTTTTGTATTTTAAAATTGCACATTATTAACCTTAAAGAATTTCTTTTTTTCTATTTGGACAAAAAATTAATTTTTTCTTCAGATATTTTTCAAGATAATGCTAATATGGTTCCATCAAGCCATCAGATGAATGAATTTATGTTAAATCAGTTTCCTGCACTTTCTTGTAGCAGGTAAAGCTACGTAATTTTGGAGACCCAGTCAAATACAAAAATGAGTGACCCCTAGTTGGGAAATTATTAAGAATTTTAAGAGGTTGTCAATGGAGTTGTAAACCAAGTGCAGGCTTGTTCTAAGGGTGCCGCTCTGCGGTTCTGCCTGGGTCTTGTGCCCATGAAGCCCATCCTGACCGATACAGGAAGAGATTTGTCATGTGCATAAATACAGAAAATCTCTGTCCATCCCACGCCTCACAGGAATAAATGTACACCAGAAAAGACACTTTAAAAAGTTTTAGTGAAAATAATTATAGCGCCATAAATGGAACGTGCTCCCAGTACCAACTTCAGCTGTTTTAACCTGATCACTCAGATGGCCATGTCTGCATTCTCGAGTCTTCTTCAAGAGTTTCCCCAAGTGAATCTTCCCCTGCAGCTGCAGTGATCTGCTCATTCTGCCCCCTCTGGAGGGACATGGGCCTGCTCTGCTGCTAGACTCAGGCCCCGCCCTGATCAGTTCCTGGAGGGCCCTTCCGGCCTGCAGTTTCCCTCTTCTCCTCATTCCCCTGGCTCCTGGGATTCCTCTGGCAATTCAATTCCTAGAGCTGTAATGAAATAAAACTTATTTGGCATTTGTTTGCACATCTTTTCTTACCTTGTAACCCCTCTCTGTAACATGGTTGTATAATATGATCTTGAAAATGTCCCTTAGATTTAGATGTAGGAAAGTTTCACAAATTGTGTCAAAGGGTTCCATTCCAAGCAAACTCACAGTAATGATAGCAGAAAATGTTAATTATACTCTGCCTTTTAGACAGATTTCACACTTTTCATATATATATATGTTCTATTTCCTTAATTTTGTCTCTAGTGTGCTATTAATTAAGCATGGGGCTAAATTTCCTTTAACCAGAACAAACCCTTTAATTTTTATCTTTCCCATCCAATTTTATAAAATAATAAAGCTCAGATAAAGTTAATTATTTTTAAAATGCTGCTGCCACTAGTCTACTTAGGATATGGTGATACTGCCAATATTGAAACTATGATCGTATAGCTCAAAATGTTCATTCATTAGCTTCTATGTGAGATGACAAAATCTGGCATGAGAAACCCAGTTTAGGAACACTGATATCTAGTATAAAATAAGGGAGGATTGTCCAAAATCCAAAATTAAGAAAGTTCAGGACCTGAGGTTGGTGTACGTTCATTTTCCTCTCACATTTTGAGACTCCAAGTAATTCTCTCTTGTATCTTTCACCCAGTGGGTTTTTAATAAAAGTGTCATGGTACTGACGGCAGCACTGTGTTAATCATCATTTGAGCTGAAATCGGTTAAAACAAAGCACATCTCATCCACTTGTTCTGTGAGGTCCCTCAGGAGTCTAGTTTAGTAGTTAAGATAAGCTTTGGTGTTAGATGGCCTTCTGTTGAAGCCCAGACACTGCTCCTCATTGGCAACGTGGTTCATCTCTCTCGGCCTCAGCACCCTCACCAGATATGAAAAGCAGTAACAAAGACCCATACCGTTCTTAACAGGTATTTATGGAGCACTTTCAATTGCCACACATTGTTGTGTAGATAACACAAGGTTATGCTTCAGTATTGCCTCTGCTTGAGAACTCAGCACAGGGCCCTCTGCATAAGCAACTTTCAGTACAGTAATACTCTGGGCAGTGATGTGCTTGTGATGTGCTTGTGATGTTCTACGGGCTGGGCCTGGTGGTCCTGGTTGACGATTCCGGTAAAATTCTCCAATCAAGCTTTTCCATGGCTTTAGTATTCCCCCCTCCCCTTTTAAAAAATTTTCTTGACTGTGCACAAGTTTGCGAGAAGTATATGATCCCCTCTTTATTTCTCTTTCCAGAATGGAGTCTACTGAAAAATGTGAAGTGGTAATTCAACATTTTAATGGAAAATATCTGAAAACACCACCTGGCATCCCAGGTAAGACCGACCATTAAGTGGTCACCCCAGAGAGTCCAGGCTCATTGCAATGACTACAATGAGTGCCTGGTGAGGCCCTGGGAGGGGAACATTTGCATTTATAAATGTACAACTTTTAGCACTACACAGCTACTCACCTTTGTCAAAACTACCAAAAGCTTTATGGTGATTCCATTTTGGCCTTTTCTTTGAATCTCTGCAGCTCATTCCCTCAAGTGAACTAGGGGAAATCACAGCAAAGAAGAGCTAGAGGTGCCCTTGAAGTGAGGGAGTTTCTGACTCCCATCCTTGATATTGGTTTCTTGATTTCTAATGTATAAAGTATCTGAACAGTGGTATGCACCCGAGGGTTCATGGGTGGATTCCAGTGTCCAAACATCTCTTACTGGTTCATGACGAGAAGAGTACAGAAAGGGGGAGGAAGCATTTAGAAACTTGAATAGCAATTTGACATTGTCATAACATCTGAGTGCCTAAGTTCATATTTTACAAAACTATCAGTGACTGACATATTGAAATTGCCCATTCATCAGAGAGAATTTGAGGAGCACCCATCTAGACTTTTCCAGGGCATTTCACATTTCCCAAAGCAAAATTATTTCCTTGTTAAATTTTAGTTCCCTCACAATTGTCCCCACCCCGCCTTGCTGTCCCCTGCCCTGCCACCCTGGCCCCCACTCCCACACTTAATCCTGACCTCATTGTCTGTCCATGCATCCTCTATTCATGTTCCTTGACTTGCTCCTTCCCCTCCTTTCCCCTTTATCCCCCTCCCACTTCCCTCTGGTCACTGTCAGTTTGTTCTTTATTTCCAGGTCTCTGGTTCTATCCAACGCAGAATGCTTAATTATATACATCATAAGATGATGTACTTTATGCTATTAAGAACTACACTTAAAAAAAGAATTGCACTCAAAATAAAAAATTAAATATACCACTTGTGTTGAAGCTTAAGCTAGAAATGCCTGACTTAACTTGATATTAATCTGGTAGTAGCATGTATGGAAAGTATTTAATATTAGGTGAGTAAATTTATGAATATATCTTACTCATAACATAATAACATTAGAGATTGACACAGGTGCTAAAAAAGAATTACAGTAAGTAGATAAAGAACTATTTGACTAACGTATGTTGGTTTGTTTCTTTTTTGTTTTTGATGATTGTCAGGGGAATAATGTAACTTTTTCAGCTGAATAATATTTTTCTTTTGGTCCTTTTCAACCGGATTTCTATAGTCTTTGCTATGTAATGTGTGTACTCTTTAAAATTCATTGTTAAAATATTCGGGGATTGAACATTTCAACTCCTTAAAACATACTGAGGTTTACATAAGAGGGATTTTGAACAGAAAGAAATATTTTTGTGAAGGGGTCAGGGTTCTTTTATGAATTGATTGGTTGGGGGAATATGTCAGGACAGAAGAGTCCTTCAGACCGAGAGGTGGGTGAGCTGGAAAATCCACAGTAGCATCTCTGGTTGGTCAGAGGATCACCGCACGGTAAAGCCTGTGCCTCGATTTGGTTGATTTGGTTAGTGCCTCCATTTGGTTTGCTTCCATGCATAACGTTCCTTTGAGAATTGACTGCATTTCGATCCTGTTGGAGACATATGGTGTTGTTAACAAAAGAGTTAGCAATTTACATCTCAGCATGAAAGCTGTCCTTGCATTTTAGGAGACATACTTTTCATTTTTATTTTATTTTAGCAGAAAAAGCACTTTAAGACACTGTGCTCAGATCCATCATTGAAGAAAGGAGTTAGTTGCATTGTTAGAGGATTTTCCCCATATTTATCTCATTTTACCCAGCAGATGCTTATCTGTAGAGAAGGCATTCAGATTAAGTGTGCATTAGATGGCTATATAAAAAATTAAGAATGAGCACATTATATAGAAACTATTGTTTATTCAAGTTTTAATACGGGTCTCGGTTTTTTAGGTTTCTTCCTTTTCAGAAAAAGACATTGAAATACTTCTCAACTTGACTGATTTGAAACTGTTTTCTTTGCTTTCCTCATTAAAGGTATAGCTGACAAATGCAACTTAATGCTCAAGACAAAGAGAGTCACTAAAACCCCCAAATACCTGGGCATTCTTCCTGAATGTGCAGGCTCTGATATCAGCCTGTCTAATAGCATAGCTACACCCAATGGAAACATTGTGAATAGCAAGAACTTAGTTATGAGTTTCTTACTCCCTTTTATCTCATGGGAACGTGAAAGGCAAAATAATTGCTTTCAGTGATAAAACTCCTTTAAGAGATTTAACTTTATGCTTCTGATTTTTATACTCAACAATAATAGAATTAAATATACAATCATAATCACAATTGGTCCTTGACTGTGCTTATTTATGCACTGAAAGTCAAATAGAGTTTAGTAAAGGTTTATGGAAGATATTTAATTTTTGATATTTAAATTTGATGTGCAATAAAACAGGACATAATACAAGATGTTGGTATTTTGGAAGCTACAATATTAAAGTGCCTTCATTGGATATATTCAGTAAGTTAAGGCGACTGGTATAATAAAATTTAGGTGTATGCTGTTTGCCTTTATTTGTTCCCATGTGTTATTTGTTGTAGATGGTTGAAATCTTATATGAACAGAATTATCTAGTCCATCTTGAAGACTGAGTGGATGTCACTATGTGTCCTGAAATCAGAGTAGAAACTATCGCTTTGATATTTTTTTAAAAAGTGGCCAATTTCCTAACATTTTCAATACTCATACAGCTTTAGAGACATTGTCCTTGCTTCTGAGTACACTCATTAAAGCCAATTATAATTGATCTGATCTACCTGCAACTACAATAGAATTCAAAAAACTATTTTAGAAATTTCAGTCTTCCACATTCTCAAGATGTGGCATCTTTGAATTCAGAACTTTGTGATTTTATGAAACTCATATTTATACTTTCAATATAATGATTTAAAGTTGCGTGACTGTGGGACCCACAAGGGCCCAGTAATGGCCTGAGCTTCTCAGGCTCCAAAAAAGCTGTTGAAAAGCGTGTTAAATGTATTTTCTTCTTATACTAGAGCCCTGCTTTTACCTGTACTTTAAAACAGTAGAGAACAATTGGTATGGAATTTTGGTTCTTTACTGCTCTCTTCAGGGACACCTTGGGGAAGTGTGCATGAGAAATTGGAAAAACATACTGCCATTTGGGCTCCTGTCACTTTTGACAATGATTCCTCTTAAAGGAGATGCAAAGTTATTTTTTTTCCCCTGAGAAGACCATCTAGTTTCCCAGTCCCTTACTGCATCATTTCTATGAAAGAATAAGAAAGAGAAATTCACTTCAACCCCAAATTTTGACATTGGCCTGAATTTCAAATTCTAAAAACATCACAGTTAAGGATATTTGCAAGGACAGGTAACATAAACCATATTTTTGTTGCTTCCTCCATTATAATTTGCATTGTTCTAGGAATAATTAACTCACTTGTTAAATGGATTTCATGATGGCGTTTAGCTTTCATTCCTGACAGAATATGTGAGTTGGAAGAAAACTCTGTAGGTCCTTCTTTTAACTCATACTTTCGTTCTCTGGGCTCCTCCTATTTGCTCATAAAAGATCTAATTGTAATGAATACATCATGAATCATTAATGCCTATTAGAACTTCTCAGAACTAGCTCTGTTCACTTTGACTTACAATGGTATCTCAGATTTTGGTTACCTCCATCAATGAAGCTAAATATACCTGTCAAAAATCAAACTATTTGAATTCTGTTATATATAGTACAGGAAATTAACAAAGATCAGGTGGCTGTGTGGCTGTGGGGGCGACTTTCCTTGCAAGTCCCCCCATGTGCCACAGATGAAAGTAAACATGACTGAGACATGATGTGATCTACTTGGGGAGGAGAGGTGGCGAGTTTCTCAGGGGAAAAAGGCCTTGAGCCCCCTCCTCCAAGGAGTTTTATTGGGTTGTAATGCACAGGAATACAGGGCGGCAAGGATCAAACAGTAGATAACATTTTAAAGAAATCTGAGGGCTTAGTCCAAGTCAGAGTCTGTCAGGAAGAGTTTTAGGGTTTCCTGCTTGAACCCTTAACATATGAATGAAAGCACTCTTAGCAGAGCAGATTTCACAGGCTTATTAGGAAGTCTTTGTGATGTCAGATTTTTCCCTGGACACACACTAGCAAGGCAAGGAGCTGCACCTCTCCCCATCGGATATTCAGGTTTAAGGGGATTAGAGCCAGGAAGCAGTTCTCCTAGAGAACATAGGGACTTGGGCTTTGTCAAAACCAGGGGGCGAGAGTCCATTGCTCTTTGTTGCAGCCCCCCAAGTCCTTCCATGATGGCCTCCCAAGTAATCATGTCTGGCCTAGGTTGCCCCCCGCTGTGAGGGGTCTTACCTGTCAGACCAAGCTTTGGGGGCAAGGAGAGGAAACGGAGGCAGCATTTGCTACCAAAGAAAAGCTTTGTCTCCTGCGTTTCTCATTCCAAAGGTCTTCGCTGGCCCTTAGCCACAGGGGGTCGGATTACAATTCCTGAAACCAGGCAGAGTGGTCCACAACATGTGGCTACTAGCAGGCAGCAGGTAGATGGCACTATGTGTATTAAACAGCGTCAATCATTCCAGCCATCCTCAAAAAAGAGATCATCCAGCACTTTCTTCCCTAGAGGGAAACAAAAACACAGGGTTCCATAAATGTTGCATGTCTGACATATTGATCTTGATGTTTTCTGGACAACATGAAGGATCATAAGTTGCTTGCCTGTCTAACCCCAGACATTCCCTTGTCCCGTAATGAATTGCTCAGCAATGTTGTGCAGCCTTAAAGTCTTCCATTTTCAAACCAAAAGCAAAGGGTAAGTTCTCAGACACTTCAGGGATCTGTAGGGCATGAACTTGAGAGGCTTACTTTCAAAGAGCCCCCAGAGCAGAGTGATGCACCATGAGGAAAGGCTTCCACATGTAAGGACATGTATTGATGAATAGAACGTGCAGGCTAGTTTGTAGAAAAATAAATCACATTTTGCTCT